GGGTCGGGCCTGCCCTTGGCAGAACTGGAGAAAAATGAAAGAACCTCTTCTCCTTTTTGTTCCTCGCCTCAGCTATCTTGGGAAAACCCATGGCCCTGTCGGGGTTTGGGAGGCCGTGCTGCTTTCCCTGTTATTCCTCGTCCCTGGTTTGACAGAGGAAAAAGCAAAGCAAGAATGCCTGTTCTTCCCTTGCTTAAGCAAGGCTGGGTTTCTCTGCTGCAGTGAAAAAAAAAAAAGGGCGATGAAAAACGACATGGTTGTGACATCATGGCGTGAGAAGGGATCCTGAAGTGACAGACTTGGATTGGATGGTCGCTGTCCACATGCACTGTGTAGATTGGTGCGTGATGTGAATAGAAAGTGAGCCGAGAGGAGAGGGGGGAAAAAAAAAAAATCTGTATCTCCAGAATGCGTGTGGTATACCAGGAAGGTTGGAAAGATGTCAGAGTGATGCTCATGAAAAATGGCCTTTCTCAAACAGGAACACATTAGGGTTTTCTGTTGTTTGTTTTTCCTCTAAGGAAAGTAGACACCGTGATTGGTTCCGTTAAAAAGCTTATTAGTGTGCATTCTGGATGTCTTCTCTGCAAAATTCTCACAGGAGTCATCCATTCAGCATTCAGCTATGTCACACGGAGGGAAGAAAAGCTCAAATGCTGTGTAATTCAATAATCAGAACATTTAACGTAGCTTTCTGTAACAGTTGCAAGCAGTTGCAGTGTTTAGCATCTGTCTCTTAAAACCTGCACACCTTCAGGCAGAATGGAGAACAGTTGGACCAAAAAAGTGCATTTAAATGCTTTCCTGTTACCTTTTTGTCCATAGACTCACAGCAGATTGCTGTGAGTAATATCAATAAATTAGACATTCTGGTAATGTTCTGTAAGTACATTCCAGTAGCAGGTTTCCTTGCACAAAGATACAAATGATGCATTCAGTCTCAGGTGTGTCCAGCAAAATGTCTATCTTTAGGAATTACGGTTGAGGTTCCATTCTTACTGTTGTCAGTTTCTAAGTAGCTTATGTTATAAGGCTAAAGAAGTGAAACCAGTGCCCAGCTCTAATGTTTACACGGGATGGTAAGTTAAACCACTCTTAGATTCATTATCTGTATCCTGTATTTGTCAGTTGCAGTACCTGGAGCTGTAGCAAAATTGGGGTGAAAGGGGCACCATCTTCATTCACTACTCATTTCATGAAATGTGAGGGAGGAGTCAGAAAAGTAGTCTCTTCCTGTTTGCCTGCTTAGTATGTCACAACAGCCTTACTCCCTGTCCCGAGTGAGTACAGCCCTTCTTGAAGGTGAATATTTCATACCCAGGATGAGGGGAGCAGCTGCCGGCCTATGAGAACTAGAGATGGGCTCTGTCTGTTCTGTGGGGCTTGCTGGCTCTCCGCTTCCTTCCTGTACGTCTCCTGCCTGTCCGTTCCCGTTTTCTTCCAGTTGAGTTGAAAGAGGAGAGCTGGGAAGCCCAGTTTCACGTGGATGAGAGGAACGAACTTTTTCACTCTGGTTAGCAGCGAGTCATCTGAAAATCAGACCATGGATGTTTGAGATTAACCTTGCGAGAGAGAGGCAAGAGTAGGGTATGCCTGTCAGGTGGGAGGGAGGAGTACAGCTGTGTCCTCCGTTGGACTGGTTTGTATCGTAAGTCATTGCCTTGTTGCTCTGGGCCTTAAGCACTTGTGTAATAAACAGGTGAAGGGCATAAACTTCATGCAGCTCTTAGCATAGGCTTTCCAGCAGAAAGAGCACAATATTAAGCTGAATTTAGGGCAGATCGTATTTTTAAGTGGTTGTATATTTCTGACTGCATTTCCTTCTTGCCCACTTTGGTAGCTCTTCCTGTGGGACAGTGGCATTACTATTCCTTTCCTCTTGGTAGTCTGTCCTAATGCTGTGCAGTCTCTCCTTGAAGACACACTACTTAATGCCAGAGAGGCTTCAGCCTTAAGCTAAGAAATGGACTTGGAGGTTTCTGTACTGCTAAATCCATCAAAGTTTATTTTCTTTAACTTAACTTGGTGTTTTAAGGTGGAGGCCATACAAATGGGTATTGAGACTCTTGGGGAGGATCACTGTCCTGGAAAGTAACATATTACTGTTAGGAATTCCTACATGCAGTTAAAAAAATTATAAAAATAGATTTCTATTATGAAATTTAACTCTTGTTCAACATCTGTTTTAGTTTAACTTAGACTACATTATTCAAAAGTGTAAATCTGATTGTTGTTATGGATAGAAGAGTGACTTGTTTTAGTTGGGCATATTCATTAAGATGTTTTAACACGAAAGATCAATGTGAAGTACGTAATTCTAAGGAAGTGTGACTGTAAATAAATATTTCTTGGGTCTTTTTTTCTGATGCAGCTTCCTGGTTTCTAGCACCTATAGTGCATGGCGGCTTATCTTAACTCTGTCCTGAAGTGAGGTGTGAAATCGGTCCAGTAATCCAGCATCAGTAAGACAGACAAGGTAATGATAAATATGTATTTTTAGAAAGGAGGTGAAAAAAACCCTTCAGATGGACACTGTTTTGTTTTTTAATGCTTTAAATAAAAGAGACAAACATCTTCTGCAAAACCATATGCTTTTACAACCAATTTAATGTTAAGTGTAATGAGTTGATGTGCCCACACTCAAGACTCCTATGTTGCAAAACATGAATAACGCATTAGCAAACATTAATGACATTATGAACTTCATTATTTCATCGTAGTGTCTCAGCAGCAACCTAGCTGTGTTAATTGCAGGTCCCTTTTCTCTGCAGTTAGACTGTATCCACCTACCTCCTGTTATGTCCAATTTGGAGAGTTTTCTTAGTATTTGCTTGCTGCTGTTTTTTTAGAGAGGGATGTCATTGGGCTAAACAAAAGGATTTGCATTAAATGTTTGCTTTATATTAAATTACCAAAAAAAACCCCAAACCCCCAGAAATTGAATTGTAATGTTGAGATGGTATCATACTGCATATTTTTAATGCAAAACATTGCCACTGAAACAGTAGGATTAAAAATATGTAGGTGCATGTGTATACATATTACAGCATACATACAAGGTCTGATGTATAAAAGGCTTTAGCTGAGAGTCTCGTGTCTCTGGTAGGAGAGAAGTAACTTTCAATGCAGTGCTTTAAAAATAGACTGGCCAAAGCAAAATTCACTTTTCTCATAAAGCACTGTAGTGTGATAACCTTAAAGGTAAGGGAGAAATACCTGCATATCTCTGCCAAGAACTCTCTTTGCACAAGTGAATGACAGCATGTTTCCTGCATGTGGCTTTGGAAATGTCAATTTTGATGTGTAGAGCTGCCTACTTTTAAGATCTGTTTGTTCTTCAGATGTTCAGATAAGGCTTCTTTAATTGCTCCCCATTCCACATCTGTTGTTTTGGCCCTGTCCATAACAGTGAAGAAAGAAGGTGACAGTTGGCTAACTACTAGATTTTTTTTTTTTCCATTCCTCTGCTCAGTAACTTCTCTGTAGTTTCTGTGTTTCTTTTAATCATAAGGTCTTTGTGTTTTTTAACAAGGGATGTCTCACACAAAGCGATTATTTTTAAACTGCCTTATATAAAGTGTTAAAGACACAACTCTGAAGTACATGCTGTGTGCTGCTTGGACACAAGATGGCTTTGGTGCACTTCCTTTTAAGTTGGAGCAGTTGTCTACCTCTTTTAAAGCACAGAGAATAACCGACTGTTCTGACCATGTACACTACATAACAAATTTGTGGCTCTGAGCAATGAATAGCTAAGGTCTGGTCTATTAAGCAGCTTTTAAAAATCAAAAATCTTGGGCAAAACATCTCAGTCAAAGTTTAAAGAAAGGAAAAATTTTGTATCATCCTTTCTGGAGAGGAACCCTTGATGTGTTCTGGTCGTACATATACTGAAACCAATGTTTACCTCTTCAATTATTTATTCATGCAGTGATGCATGATTCCACCTGATCCCCTTAGTAAAGCCACCTTACCACCTATAATCTTTGAAACGAGATACTTTGTTCTGGCAGTCTTTTTTTAAATGGAAAAAAGAAAATAAAGCCCTTTTGGTTATCATAATTATGGAGGATGTAAAAATATTAAGGTGATAATGTAATCAGTAGAATGCTTTAAGGCATGCAGCTTTTGCTGCAATTTGCTCTGAGAGCGCTGTATACCTGTCTCAAAAGCAAATCCTAGGGAATATTAATTCCTTTCTAGCTTTTTTCCATGATAGTTTACAGCTGATACCTTACAAAAAAAACCCACCCAAGTTTGAAATTTCTGAGTGTTACACATATTTAAAAGCTTTCTGCCTTTACAAGAAAAAGAATCTTTGAAATTCTGACCACTGGGAACTGTGACAAGTGTTAATTTGAAGTGTCAGACCTTACAGAGGCTGTCTTTGTCCGTGAGCACAATTAATGTGTCGTGCACTTTGAGAAACAAGTGCATCATAGAATGTGTCTGAGAGGGGCTCTCTGGAGAGCTTGCTAAAAGTAACGCTTTCCAAAGATGGAAAGCTTCAGGACTGTCATCTGATACATTTAAATAACTAACAGTTTGGCTTTCTAATGTTCTTAATGTTTTGTTGTTAACAGGTCTGCAGGCAGTAAGGAAGCCACCATGAATGGGCAGCTGGATTTAAGTGGGAAGCTGATCATCAAAGCTCAGCTTGGGGAAGACATTAGGAGAATTCCTATTCATAATGAAGATATCACCTATGATGAGTTGGTGCTAATGATGCAAAGAGTTTTTAGAGGAAAACTTCTGAGCAATGATGAAGTCACAATAAAATACAAAGATGAAGGTAAGGTTTAATTACTACTGTTGAGATTTAATTACTGCTGTTGCTCTGATATGATCTGTGGACAGAAACTCTGAAGTTCACCTCTTCAAAATTGTCCAAGTTCATTGTCAAATATAAGTGATTTCTTGTGAAATCCTTTGAATCAGACAAGAGAAGCTGTATCTCCTGTGTTGTTGTTGTCTTAGCACAGTATTTCATCCAGTTTTTCTGAAATACCAGCCATCTGAAAGTTCATTTTTTTGTTGTTGCAGGAAGTTGATGGTATTGCAGGTTTCTCTTCTGTCCACTTGTGTGCTGGGTTTAGCCAGTTTTGTGTGTTCTCAGTCATGCAGTGGGTTTGAAACTGAGGAGTGAATAACCGCATGACGTAACACAAGCTCTTAAAGACTTTGAAAACTTGATTTCTATAGTAGTGGTTCTTGATAATGTCCTCCATCAGTAAAGATTAGAAGAAACTTGTAATTTAACCTGAAATATTTATTAGAAGTAGTCTTACCTGCATGACGTTTTGAATCTGTTGGACTTGGATTGTTTCAAAGAAAACCTCAGCATTAGTGCTAAACAAATGCAACCTTAAAAAGGGCTTCCACAGAATGAAAAGGACCTTGTCTGAGATGTCTAGAAATAGTTGTGGTTCAGAGGGTTTTTCCTATTTGAATGTCATAGAGTCACAGAATGGTTTGGGTTGGAAGGGACCTTAAAGATCATCTAGTCCCAACCCCCCTGCCATGGGCAGGGACACCTTCCCCTGGACCAGGTTGCTCAAAGCCTCATCCAGCCTGGCCTTGAACACTTCCAGGGATGGGGCATCCACAGCTTCTCTGGGCAACCTGTTCCAGTGCCTCACCAGCCTCTCCGGGAAGAACTTCTTACTGATATCCAATTTAAACCCATTACCCCTTGTCCTGTCACTACAGGCCCTTGTAAAAAGTCCTCCCCAGCTTCCCTGTAGGCCCCTTCAGGTACTGGAAGGCTGCAGTGAGGTCTCCCCAGAGCCTTCTCTTCTCCAGGCTGAACAAGCCCAACTCTCTCAGCCTGTCCCCATAGCAGAGGTGCTCCAGCCCTCTGAGCATCTTTGTGGCATCCTCTGGACTCGCTCCAACTGGTCTATATCCTTCCGATGTTGTGGGGTCCACAGCTGGACGCAGCACTCCAGGTGGGGTCTCACAGTGTCAGTGTGAGGCATGGCTAAGTTACTTAATTTGGGACAGAGGGATGGTATTCATAAAATGAAACTCAGAATGAAGTGATAAAATCCAAAGTCTCAGATCAAAGACTGTGTGATAATTATGCTGGTGTACAGTAAAAGAGCTCCATTACTGAAGCATTCGGGTCCATTTTTCTTGATAGCGATAGGAAACTTTAAGCACTGTGGTACCCAAATAACTTTTGTTCATACATCTAGGCAATAAAATTTCACCTTGAATGATACTGAGACAGTTTTTTGAGGTTCACGAAGCTTTTGAAAGACACTGCTCATCAAAATTGGTATGCGGTGAAGAGCTAATGTTTTGGGTCTTGATCTCCCATCTCCGTCTTTTTTTTGAAGAAGGTAAAGGTGCATGATGGAGACTGTAATTGTGCTTTCATTCTTTGGTTGGATTTCACAGCCTAGAGAGCTCCTACTTTTAATTTCAGCTTTGTCTCAGAATGTGCTAGTTTCCACTGTGACATGAAATTTCAGCATATGTTATCCTAGCTGATCATCACTACTAAGAATGTTTAAACATTGTTAATATCAGAGGAAGTTGAAAGTGATTAAGAGTTAACAGAACCAGGCTTCAGTTTGATTGTCATATGAGGACCACGGTGTTCTTGACTTTAAAGAATCTTAGTTAAGTTGAAACAAATTTATTTCAATCATTAGAATGTATACGTTCTAGCTATTTCTGATTTGTTATTTATCCCTCTAGACCTGGAGGAGTGTTTGTCTCCATCTGTTCTGAGGAAATACATTAAGTTGGTCTAGGGATTCCACTACTTCTACAACGCAATCTGAGTCTTCTCAGAATTGACTGCACACTCTTCAGTGTTCAGAAGAATGCTTCATCTGTGCCTCCTGGCTTTGTTTCTTATTGTTGTAACACGTGAAGCTGGTGTTCTTCAGGCCTGGATATGGGGTTTTCTGCTTAAAATTTCTGCAAAATGCTGTGGCTTTGTGTCTTTATCAAACTGTCATGATCCTTGAATCTACCACATTCTGCTATTTCAAATTTGTATGCTTAATTGGAGAGGCTAGGAAACTTTAAATCCCAGTCTTTCTGGATTAGTGGACTGAGATAATCAGAAGCATATTCCTGAGTTATATTTAGGTTATGCTATGCTTTTATTAATTACCAGGGAAAAGAAGTTTCAATTTGATTACTGCCTCATGGAATTAGATTTTATATTCAAGCCGGGTGTCTTTCAAACTTCTGAACTAAGGAACTTGCTCTACTAAGTGTGAAATCATTATCATGTCCTGCTTAAAGTTCTTGAATATGTAGTAAACCCCAATGTCTACAAACACCCCCTACGCCCCCCAAAAACCACACCAATGAGGATGGCCAGCAGTGAATTTATATGAATCAAAGCACACCATGTTACTGTGTGACGTGTGCCAAACCCTTTGGAGCCAGTAGTAGAAATTTTACTTCCTTTTTTATTTAAGTTAGGCCTGAATTTTTAAAAAAAGCTAAATATAAGGGTAGATAAAGTTAGTAGATGAGGAAGCATAGCTGACAGGGCCAAGGGTGACGAGGCAGGCTTCTAACATCTTAAACATTCCAAATTTCTTCTGATTTCTAATGTCACAAAAATTGGAATGCATCATGATGATGCAGAATTAATTCCGAAATAATTTTCAGTCTGTTGGCAAGTTAAGGGAGTCACTACCTTATGCTAAACATAGTTATAATTGGTGTAGGAGGGAATATTTAGGTTATGTGGGAAATTGTAGAGTGAAAGCTATGTCACTTGTAAAAAGAAGAAAGGTGAGTTCTTGAAATAACAAGATTAGTAGCAAAAATAGTGTTTTACTTCTCAGTAAGAAATACTTAACATTGTATATTCCTATCTATATCATGATAACAGGAATTAAGCTTTATTGATACTCCTTAAAATGCAAAGTTTGATAAATCTAATATGCTTAAATTGTCAGACTTTTGTATGGCTTGACATAACATACATCTTATGAATCCTAGTGTATGCTTTACGTGGGTAATAGCTTGATGGCTGTCAGTAGGAATCATGGAACTGACAGTGCACCTAAGAAGATTCTGTTCTTGGTGCTTTTCGGCCTTTTATTCTGCTAGCAGTTTAAAATAGAAACCTTAATCATTATTCTTAATACCTTCAACATAAATGTTCAGGTAGGTGAGGGAGAATAAGATGGAAAGATCTGGATTCTTTTTGGGTGACATTAATCTATATAAACCATGTGTATTATACACATTTTCGTTCGTCTCTGTAGGATAAGCGTGCACCTTTGTTCGGGCAGCGAATCTGAGTATTGACTGGTAGGGCAGAAAAGTGTCCTAAGATGGTCTGCCAAAGGTTGTGTGTTGGCAAGAGGAGTAATTGTCATTTATTGTGTTACCTGCAGAATATGGAGTAGGAGGGCTTTGTGTTCAGACACCAGTGGATTTTGGCGTCAGCATTTAGGAGAGGGTACTGAAAAGGGACACTGTTACCCTCCCCTTCCTGGCACTGGTGAGGCCCCATCGGGAAGTCTGTGCTCAGTTTTGTTCCCTGCACCCCAGGCTAAAAAGACTTGGTGGCTTGCAGGGAGCATTTCATGGAGCTGGGCTTGTTCACTGTGCTGAAGAGGAGGCCGAGGGCAGAGCTCATCACAGCCCCCAGTTAACTGCATGGGAGCTGTGAAGGCCACAGAATCCAAACCCTTGTCAGCAGCACCAGATGGCAGCAGTCATAAACTGCAGTTTGAGAGGTTGAGCGTGTGTTTTGGCCAGGAGGGCAGTGTGTCACTGGAGCAAATTGCCTCGTGGGGTTTTGAAAAGCCTCCAAGAATGGAGGCTCCAGTCTCGGTGAATCCATGACTGATACTGCTATCAACTAATGTTTTATTGAAAAGCGTGAAGTTTGGTAGTTAATTGGCTTTGCTTTTAATGTAACTTTTTCATGTTCTTTTCAGATGGAGATCTTATAACCATTTTTGATAGCTCAGATCTTTCCTTTGCAATTCAGTGCAGTAGGATACTTAAGCTGACATTGTTTGGTAAGTATAGAAGATTGATTGTCTTTTTTGTAGTAATGTTTATTAAAATCCAGGCTGTGGGCTTCATTGGAAGGTACTTAAAAACTCAGTTTCTCTCCTTGGAAGAATGAAATCAGTAAGCTAAAAATACTGTAATACATGATATCTGTTGTCTTTCTTGGTGTTTCATGTGACATCTGAACTTACAGGAAGGGAAACTCTTTCTTTCTGTAAGATTTCTGGGAGTATTTGCAATACGTATGTGGTCCGTGTTTTTTTTTCCTTATTGTTATTTTCCACTCCCTGGCATTTGTGGGGTTTTCTTCACAGATGCGTGATGAATTTATGACAATGATTATCTTGCAGTGTTACTACTGCACTGATAAAAACTAGCATTAATTGCTTAAAGTTGAATAGATTTTAACACATCCTTTGACCTTTATACAAAATAGTTCTTGATTTTCAAGCTACTGTTGGTAAATTAGCACGTAGTTCCAAGGAACAGCAAGCAGCCTTTAACTTGAACACTGGCCTTACTCATGAATTGCAGCAGCGTTGTGTGTGTTGCCTGAGTTCTAAAGGGACTTTCTAAAGGGACAGCATTCCACAGCCAGGAATATTTGTATTGGTCAGGATATATGCATCGCCATGAGCAAACAATGCAGAAGTCTGCTGCAGACTTTGCTCTGTGCTTCTGGTACTGTGTGCTATGCTGCACTGAGATTCTGTTGAAGGAAAAGTAAACTCTGGAATGAGTTCGGTGTGTGTTGACTAAACTTTGTCACTTGAACCTCCACAGTGGATGGTGGTGCTACAAGCCAGTAAAAGTTGGGATTTTTTTTTTTTTTAAACTGGATGTCAAAATGTTACCACAGTCTTAAATTTATGTAATTGTTGTTTTGCAGTGAATGGACAACCAAGACCCCTAGAGTCTAATCAGGTGAAATACCTGCGTCGAGAGCTGATAGAACTTCGTAATAAAGTCAATCGATTACTGGACTGTTTAGAACCACCAGCTGAACCAGGGCTTTCCACTAATCTGCCTGAAAATGGTAGGCAGCTTGGGAAGGAGTTGTTTGGCTTGATATGCAGAGCTGTGTGCTGTTTAACAGAGTGAAAAATGGAGGCTTGACTGCTGGTTGTGATCATTCTTAATTGTTGCTTGATGGTTCATAACTTAATGTTAGTTAATGTCAGTTATTTCTGAGGCTGAATTTTTATTTGGATTATCTGGAGTAAAGCACTGAGTTAATTTAGGGATAAAACTTGAAAGTCTGAGGTTTTGCTGCGATGTATGAAAGTGCTGTAACTAACACTTGTGAGTCACAACAGCATTTTGAGAGGGCTTTGAGATGAATTAATAGTTTGTTGCTGAAGAGTTCTTGCTCCCAGCTGAGCACTCCCACTGCTTACTTTGGGCTAGCTCTGGTGCTTATCTTGTCATGCTGCTAAGCCAGTTTGCTTCACTAAAACAGTAAAAAGCAAATTCAGCGAAAATTATATCCACTTTTTTTGCCAGGTTAGGAAATTGAATCCACACATTTTGAGCTCAGTCCAGCATCAGAGCTGTCTCAGGGTAAGCAGCACCAGGGTGCAGGTAGGGGTGGGAAAGGACTATTGGAGGGAGGATAAAATGGGGAAGGAAGGCTTATTTATTCTCCCAGTTTTGAGGCTGCTGTACTGTAAAAACTATACCTCGGTGTGCTTAACTACAGCTTTTGGGTAAGCTGGACACAGAGTCATAGAGTACAGTGTTCTGAGTAAAGAGGTGAACAAGGACTCCAGCTGTTCTTCTAGGAAACAGCTGTTTTTGTGTTCTAAGCTTTGACACTTTATTGGTTTAAAATAAAAATAGGACATTTTTGTTTAAAAACAAAAAATCCTAGCCCCTGTTCCTATAATATAAACAATTACTGACTTCAGTGGAATACCATGGATTCTGGTTATAAACCATTTGGAAGGAGATTAGGGTGGTGGGTTTAGAGTGTAAACAAAACTAGTCAGTCTAAACCCTATCTGCACGTGTTTGTTTTTAAGAGAAAATGCAGCACTCTGATAGGTAAGGGCGTTATGAGTAAGTCAGTATTACTTGGATAATTGTACTTTACCTGTCAGCTTAAGAAGAATTCTGGGAGAAGGGGTTAGAACAAAACAAAAACTGCAGCTGATAGGTTCCAGTTAATTTTACTGTTCTATCCTGTAAGTTTTCTTAATTTTGAATTCTCTTAGGTAAGTCATACCAGACTTACAGACTTAATTGACTTACAGACAATTGTTCTGTCTTAAATTCAAAGGTGAAGAGCTCCTGCTTCAGGGTGCTATGTGGTACTGATAACGTCACAGTGTTACCTTGACATAAGCATTTCAACAGCTAAAACATTTAAAAAAACCCCACACCTGCAATTTTAAAGTTGCTGTAGTACAATATATATGTGTGATGATGTTTCAGTGCTCATGAACTAACTGGGCATTTTGTTGTGCAGATGCTGTAGATGGGAGGGAGGAAAAGCCTGCTGCTGCTGACTCTAATGTTAAGCCATCTACTCAAGTTATAGCAGCAAGCATGTCTGCATTTGATCCGCTGAAGAACCAGGATGAAATCAGCAAGAATGTTATGTCAGCGTTTGGCTTGACAGATGATCAGGTGTCAGGTAAGAATATGCCTTATGAAGAGGAAAGCAAAACCTGTTCATAATCGAGGACTCAAATCTGGGTTTGTAACAAAGCATTTGTATTTTGGAGGTATTAAGCTGTGTTGTGTGTTCAGTGTTTCTTTCCAGAATGCTAAAACTTGTTACGTTAAGGTGTTGTAACTTGTTGGCTAACGTTGGTATGCAAAATGTTGAAACATTGCTGTTGTTAGCACTGTGTTTTAGCTTGGAGTAGAAAATGGCTTAATTTTTTAAATTGGACTTACTTAAAGCTACTGTGTAGAGTAACTTTGTTGGTATCTGTCAGTGATAGAAAAACACTATCTACTGCTCTGCCTTAGGGTTTGATTTTGCATTTCATGTTCTTGGCTTGTGCTGTTTGGGTCAGCCCAGGGTGTTCGTAGGACCTCGCCTTTTCTTGTTTCATTTCAGAAGTAAATAGTGTCCACTTCTTTACTGTTAACAGGAAGGAATAACATACTTGCCTGAATTCTGTTTGTTCTTGAAGAGCTGCATGCCTGTTGGCCCTGCCTAGTAGTAGAATGCTAAACATAGAAAACCTGATTATACAAAACTGAATGCAGTCAACTTTAGATAGGGTCATTGAAGTTAGAAAAGCAACATAGAATGTAATAGGGACTGTGATGCAGAATATAGAGAAGTGATTTTGTACAGAATCTGCGTGGTCTGACGAGATTTAATGTAGCATTGAAACCTGAAAATAAAACTGTTAGCTGGCAGGATTTGCTGTGTACTCTCAACTTCAGAGCAAGTAAATTTTATATGATGTGTGAAGTAATGATACAGATGGGCAAACTAATAGCAACTGGGGCTTATTTCTATGGCATGGCTGCCTTGGCAGAAGTGTGGAGTGATAGGAATAGTTCTGCAATGCCTGAGTGCAGCTGTGCAGGATGCCAAGTTGTACCTGCAGACAGAGCGGTTGTCTTCAGGTTGGGGTACTGCTCAGGCCCATTGGGTGATCCCTTCCTCCATGGCACGTTCTGGGTATCGTCACAGCGTGGTTATTTCACAAACCAGACAAAGGTTTGATGGTGCTTGAAAACTTAAAATGGGCTATCTCTGAACGATGAAGTGATAGAGCATGAAGTACAGCTAGCGGGAAATCGGTGCTAAGTTTTGGGTGAGTGGTTTTGTCTTTTGGTACAGAGCCTCACTGGCAGTTAATGCTTTGATCATAGCATCAGTGATACTTCACTGGTTTTGTCTCCATAACTGTTGTGATAGTGACCTGACTTAGCCATGCTTTGGATGGACAAAGAACTTCAGAGAACCATTTAAGCAGGATATTAGAAATCCCGTTTCTAAAGCTATAATCCTGCAGTTACATAGATAAAGTTAACACCAAAAGTAGGCAGATTTGGTTTGTTTTCCCTTAAATAAGGGTAACATGCAAACACAATTAAAGGCTTGTTGGATGCATGAATGTCTAAATAACATGGTCTTAAAATGGAATTTGCAGCTAACGTTCTTAAGCAGGATACTAGAAATCCCGTTTCTAAAGCAGTTACATAGATAAAGGTAACACCAGAAGTAGGCAGATTTGGTTTGTTTTCCCTTAAATAAGGGTAACATGCAAACACAATTAAAGGCTTGTTGGATGCATGATTGTCTAAATACAGTGTTCTTAAAATGGAATTTGCAGCTAACGTTCTTAAAATGGATTTTGCAGCAAATCTAATACTTGTGCTTAACTTCAAGCATGCATTTGAAAGTAGCCTCCTGTAGGTATCATTCATATAGCAAAGAGCTGGAAAGATCTGGGTTTAAGCTCTCTTGTTTCTAACAAAATATTTTGCATTTATTTGCAGTGTATTACACTTGTTCATGTGCATCTTTCAGAACTTCTCACTAACACAGACAAAATATGAATTCTCTGTTTCCATGCTTTCTTTGGCTGCTAGCTAGAATATTTTCAGAATTATCAAAACAGACAACTGCTTTTAGGCTGAAGCCTGCCATGTCCTGTCTGGGAGTGTGAGTTTTACACCTCTTTTGGAGTTTTTCCTGTGCGCATGCCGTATGACTATTGGCAAAGCACTTTGGGGCCTGGGCCCATGTGGGCCACAGTAGAACACTAGCCCATTTTAAGTTTCACCCAGCCTTTCGTCTTTGCTCCAGATGCGGAGGTGCCTGTGCTGTCCAAATGTAGCAAGTCTTTCATGTGCGTGTACAGGAGTAACGCGTGAACTGGGAAAAACGTGTCATGGAGGTTTTATCCCACAAATGGGTCAGGTTCCTTGGAAGCATGAAATTTGAGTGAACTAGAGACAAATTCCCCACCTGGATATTTTCAAAGGAGAGTTTAGATGTGCAGATATATTGAGTTTTAGCCTGGGCATGACATTCTCGGGTGTGAACCTATGGGAAACTGGAAAAACATGTTAAGAACTTTGCAAGGGAATGGTCTTGTATTAGACTTCTCTTATTCAAACTCCCTGTTCATTTCACACGCTGTATTTTGTCCTTGCTCCTGTAGGACCACCCAGTGCTCCTGCAGAAGAACGATCAGGTACACCGGACAGCATCGCTTCCTCCTCTTCTGCAGCCCACCCCCCTGGTGTTCAGGCACAGCAGCCACCGTACCCTGGGACGCAGCCGCAGGCTGGTCAGGTGGAAGGTAAGCACCGTGGCTTTCTGCCTTTGAAGACGTGAGTGATGTCCAACTCCACGCGATCAGTAGGTATGACTGCCAGTTAGCGGCCCCGGTGTCAATACCACACTGCAAGTTCATCTGTGCCACTGGGCAGGAACACTTGTGTCCTCTCATGCTGTTCAGTAGGGAAACAGCAGATGGAGCAGGAGCTTTATTTAAAAGGGTAGGTGAGGTAACACGAGGAGGATTTTCATGTACTGTTTTCTGCCTGCATTCGTTCTCCTTTTACTGTAAGGCAGATTTATATGCGCTGCATTTTAAGGCAGTCTGAAGATCTTAGTTCGTATCATACCCTGTGTGCTGTGTCAGGCTTTCACTCAGCTAACTGTATGTTGGCTTGTCTACTGTGAATGAAAATGCTGTGTACTCATGGTTTCTGTCTAACAGAACAGAGCCGTTAGTGCACTGCTGCTTTATTATGTATGGCTCTGCGCTAGCCAGGTCAAACCTTGTCACTCTTGTGGCTGTAGCTTTCCTCTGTGACCTTTGGGAGCCTCAGCTGGCTCTCCTTCAAAGCTTTAGGGACTGAACTCTGGCATTCGGACACCCTTGTACTATGCCCTTGTACCTGTTGTCGTGGTTTAACTCTGGC